GGAGAAGGGACAGAGTTTCAGAAGGACAACCATCACTGCAGCTGTCCACCAATCTGGGTTTTATGGCAGAGTGGCTAGACGGAAGCCTCTTCTCAGTGCAAAACACATGAAAGCCCTCTTGGAGCTTGCAAAAAAGCACCTGAAGGACTCTCAGACTGTGAGGAACAAGATTCTCTAGTCTGATGAAACCAAGATTGAATTGTTTGGCCTCAATTCTAAATGTTATTTCTGGAGAAAACCAGGCACTGTTCATCACCTGTCCAATATCATCCCAACAATGAAGCATGGTGGTGGCAGCATGTTGGGGGTGCAGTATTATGGGGCTGTTTTTCAGGAGCAGGGACTGGGAGACTGGTCAGGTTTGATGGAAAGATGAATGGAGCAAAGTACAGGGATATCCTCAATGAAAACCTGTTCCACAATGCTCAGGACCTCAGACTGGGCAGAAGGTTCACTTTCCAACATGACAACAATCCTAAGCACACAGCCAAGACAACACAGGAGTGGCTTAGGACAACTCTGTGAATGTCCTAGAGTGGCCCAGCCACAGCTCTGACTTGAATGCTATTGAACATCTCTGGAGGGACCTGAAAATGGCTGTCCACCGATGGTCGCCATACAACCTGACTGAGTTTGAGAGGATTTGCAAGGAAGAATGGCAGAAAATTCCCCAATCCAAGTGTACAAAGCTTGTCATGTCATACCCAAAAAGACTCGAGGCTGTAATTGCTGCCAAAGGTGCTTCAACAAAGAATTTGTATTTTGAAAGGTTTGAATAATGTGATATTTCATTTTTTTCTGTTTAATAAATTTACAGACATTTCTAAAATTCTCTTTTCAGTCTGTCATTTGGAGTACTGAGTGTAGGTTAATGAGAAAAAATGAATTTCAACAACTGGATAATCTGGCTACAGCATAAGAAAATTGACAAAAGTAAAGGACGTCTGAATACTTTCTGAATGCACTGTATATGTATATTTTTATTTGCCCAGAATTCATTTTAATTTTTATATGAGGTGATAATTATTGTGCTGATAATATGTTTTTGGAATCTGCCTTGAAAGTTTCTAACAAAAGGGGGCAAACCAAACCAAATAAAATACATTAAAATGTATTCCTTGGCACTGAGGAAATAATACCTTTTTTGCATTATTTTTAATAGTTTATAAAATATTTTGCTTCAATGTTATAAAGTGCTTTTCTTACTTTACATTATTCATACAAAATCATTACTGCAACTGAGACTCATAGCAGTCTGCAGCTCAACAATTCTGATTGGAATGAGAACTATTCCAATTCTGATTGGAATGAGAACTATTTACGGGACCGCCTACTACCACCAATAGCCCCCCACCGGCCAGTACGCTCTCATAGAGAGGGACTCCTCCGGGTGCCGTCAGCCAAACAGTGTCGACTGGCGGCCCCTAGGGAGAGAGCCTTCTCTGTGGGGGCACCTACCATCTGGAATGAGCTCCCCCCGGAGATACGGAGGATCCCGGATCTGCGTTCCTTCTGCCGTGCTGTGAAGACCTTTTTATTCCATCAAGCGGGCTTGGCCTGATCTCTTCCCTTTTTAAAATATGTAAATTTTAATCTGTTTTTAAATTATTGGGGTATTTTAATTTGTCTGGGCCAAAAAGTTTAATTTGATTTTATCGGGTTTTTAAATTTTGTGTATTTATGTATTTTATTGTTGGCTGTTCACCGCCCTGAGTCCTTCGGGAGTAGGGCGGTATACAAATCAAATAGAAATAAATAAATAAATAAAGACCAGCCCAAAGTTATATAACAAACCAAATTATTGCAAAGGAACTTAAATATGGATGTCTCTGACCCTATTCCAGCACATGAATCATTATGTTGGCTGTCTTTTGTTCACAAGATTCAGTACAAATTACTTTTCCATTCTAAATATTTTTTTTAAGAAATGAAAGGCTTTTTTGCTTAGCTATTTCCAAAACTTTTTTTTACTTATAAAGACTTGCGTATATATATTTGATCAGCTTAGGCAAATCTAATTAAATCAGTTTTGATGGCAAGAATATCTGTGTAGCTGAAATTTTACAGATCTGATGAATTTATAATTGAGTAACTGCAGACTTGAGGCCACAGAGTGGCAGGGATGGCCAAATCTGGCCTTAAATTCTGCCTCGGTACATTTTCTTCAAAAGCAACGGAGTCAGAAGATCATTTAACAGCAATTTATTAAGTATTTTGATAAAGAGTATTCTCTATGTTTTATGCATGACAAATTGTTTAAAAGCTACATTGTTGTTTGAATCACCCATCACTAGCTTTTAAAGGTCAGGAAAGCTTTTGCATTTGAATGTAAGTAAAGTAAAACCACATTTTAACAAACTATTTGGTGGGAGGTATGCATTAGGCCCCAAGGGTTGTAGTATCATTGCATTAACTAAAGTGAGGTATATTATACTAGTTTTGTGATTATGTCAGCCAACAGTTAGATCTAGTAGTTTGGCACTAGGCTATAAACCAAGAGATTGTAAATTCAAATTACTTTAATTTACTTTTATTAAATTTCTATACCACCCTTCTCCCGAAGGACTCAGGGCGGTGTACAGCCATATTAAAACACATAAAATTTACAAAATTTAAAAACCATTAAAATCCAATATACAAAAATTTGGCCCACAAATTAAAAATTAACATACACCCATTAAAATTCATATTCACGTTAGGCCAGCCCGGCTTGTTGAAACAGGAGGGTCCTCAGGGTGCAGCGAAAGGTGCGCAGGTCGGGGATCATACGCACATCTAGGGGCAGCTCATTCCAGAGGGCTGGTGACCCCACAGAGAAGGCTCTCCCCCTGGGTGTTGGCAGTCGACATTGTTTGGCCGATGGCACCCTGAGGAGCCCCTCTCTGTGGGAGCGTATTGGCCAGTGGGAGGCTGTCGATGGCAGAAGGCGGTCTTGTATATACCCCGGTCCTAAGCCATGGAGCACTTTAAAGGTGGTAACCAACACCTTGAATCGCACCCGGAAGACCACTGGGAGCCAGTGCAGCTTGTGCAGGGGAGGTGTCACGTGGGTGCAATGAGTCGCCTCCATAATCACCCACGCGGCCGCATTCTGGACCAGTTGGAGCCTCTATGTGCTCTTCAAGGGGAGCCCCATGTAGAGAGTGTTGCAGTAGTCCAGATGGGAGGACGAGGTCATGAGTGACTGTGCGCAGGGCATCCCGGTCCAGAAAGGGATGCAACTAGCGTATCAGGCGAACCTGAAAAAAAGTTTCCCTGGCCACGGCCGTCGTATGCTCTTCCAAAGACAGCCGTACATCCAGGAGAACACCCAAGTTGCGAGCCCTCTCTGAGGGGCCAGGATCTTACCTCCAATAGTCAGCAATGGAACCAGCTGACTATACCGGGATACCAGGAACCACAGCCACTTGGTCTTGGAAGGGTTGAGTCTAAGCCTGTTCCTCCCCATCCAGATCCGCACGGACTCCAGGTACCGGGACATCATGTCAAGGGCATCATTGGGATGGTCCGGGGTGGAGATGTACAGCTGAGTGTCGTCAGTGTACTGATGGAACTTCACCCCGAAACCACGGATGATCTCGCCCAGTGGCTTCACATAAATGTTGTACAGAAGGGGCGAGAGGACCGACCCTTGCAGCACCCCACAAACAAGGCGCCTCAAGGTTGACCTCTGTCCCCCTGCCATCACAAACTGCGTACGGTCGGAGAGGAAGGAGGAGAACCACCGCAGCATGGTGTCCCCCACTCCCAACCCCTCTAATCATCACAGCATGATACCATGGTCGATGGTATCAAAAGCCGCTGAGAGGTCTAATAGGACCAGGACAGAGGAACAACCCCTGTCCCGAGCCTTCCAGAGATCATCAACCAATGCGACCAATGCCGTTTCCGTGCTGTACCCCGGCCTGAAGCCCGACTGGAACGGGTCTAGATAGTCAGCTTCATCCAGGTACTGGGGAAGTTGTCGCGCCACCACACTCTCAACAACCTTCGCAACAAAGTGAAGGTTGGAGACTGGATAATAGTTCGCTAATATAGCCGGGTCCAGGGAAGGCTTCTTGAGGAGGGGCTTCACCACTGCATGCATTGCATTGCATGCAAATGCTATTATCTTTAAGTATGGAAAATTGAGATTTCGCTGTGACAAAATTATAATTATTTCAAATAAAGATAATGTTTTAACACGATACAATTTATTCTTGCAGGATAGGTATTGTTACGTTTTATAATGCATTCTAAAATATTTGTGTGTTTAGATAATTGAATAAATAAAGTGGAATATATGACAAGGAAAATTTGATAGAAAAAAGGGACTCTCAAAGTGCTTTTCTAAAAGTACTTTTAACTGTTGAATTTGTTAGGTAATATATTTACAGCAATCTAAAGTTATCTACTAATGCATTATTAATTCATGAGATATAGAATCCAACATGTGGTGAACAGTCCAATACTGTTTATGTTACTTTTAAAATGTAGTTTCTCTCTCCCTGCCTCTCCCTCTCCCTCTCTCTCTCTCTCTCTCTCTCTCTCTCTCTCTCTCTGTGTGTGTGTGTGTGTGTGTGTGTGTGTGTGTGTGTGTAGAGAGAGAGAGAGAGAGAGAGAGAGAGAGAGAGAGAGAGAGAGAGATTACCATCAATGACTCTGCATCCTTGACAATCAGGCTCAGGAGCCAACTTTACTTATGCAGATGCTAAAATCTGCACAGGACATATTTCAAAGTAAATATGAAAATACATAAGGAAGAACAAGTAACTTGAAAGATCAAAAAGGATCTCCAAGGATTAAAAAAAGGATCCTTTTTTTCCTATTGTTGCCTAAAGGAACAGTCCCGGGGGGAAAAAACAGACAATGAAGAGTGTCCATTCCAAAAAGGAATGGCATTTAACTCATATATCAGAAACCAGAAATAAAATTTTTGGAGAATTCCTGTATGTGCATGGCAAACAAACGCTTTGATAAGTCTTTATATTTAAATATATATATTTCTTTGCATATTGAAGATATCAAGCCCCTCAGACTGGCAAGTGTCAACTGCATTCATTGGATGAGTTTCTGTCTCCTAAAAAGACAAGGTAAGTTTGATTTTGAAAGTTTTAAAAATATATGAGCAAATGATACTTAGTCTATGAATTTTGGAAAGTTAATAACAGATTAAGGAACCAGAGGAATGCTGAATTATAACTGAATTATTTAGAAACTATTTTCTCAGAGAAAATTGACAGTGTTTTTGTTTATTTGTTTGTTTGTTTATGTTTATGATAAGGTATCTTCAAGGCTTGACACTAGAACCAGCAGATAAATAAAATGGAACAGAAATCCTTAATGCAATTTTTGAATACCTTTCAACTAAGCGTTTGGAGAGAATTGATCAGACAGTTGATAAAATTGACAGATCATGTTCTCATGAAGTTATAAAACAAGAACGAAATGCAATGTGTGTTTATGAAATTAATTTGAAGGGTGACTTAAATGCAATGCAAATTGGGAATGATAGACTGATGACTGACTCCTTAAAGGAGATGAACAGACATAAAGTCAGAATAGTGATTTGGATACTTATTTTTCCCCTCTCTGGTTATACAAAAGTGCTCTGCTAAAATTTGCAAGGACTTTTTTAGAAATGGCAAATTTAGAAATGAATAAAAGAGAAATCTGTTAAAATTCTGAAAGATTTTCACTTTGAAACACATGAGCAGAAAATTACCTATGAGACTTTTTTAAAAAAGAAGAACCAAAGAATAAAAACATTAGGGAAGGTTCATAAGATTGGCTTGTTTGATTAGGACTAAAAGAAAAAAATTATATTAGGTTGCCCTTACTAGACCTTTGCTGACAAAGATTGATGGACTATTTGGGTTTTGTTTTTCTTACCTAAGAAATAAACTATGAGAACTAGATATATTATGAAGAAAATAGTTATGTCTGCTTGATCTTGCTGGACTTTTGCTGATAAAAACTGATTGATGTGATTGATTGAAGTAACAGTTGGTTTTGCTTTCTTACCTAAGAGATGGGTTCTCAGAATAGAAATTATGTTTTATTTAAGACAGTGATGAGGTATAAAATTATTTTTACCTGCTGGGATGAAGGTAAAAGTTACTTTTTCTTTCTTTTTTCACAACTCCTCTCTTTTTCTTTTGTATTTTGTGTAGTTTGCATTGACTTCTATCCACATGTAAAATTGTTAATAAAATCATCTGAAAAAAAATATGAAAACTTTGAATGCTTTTCTTGGAAAAAGAATGTTGTCTTAATGGACCTTTGGTCTGACCCAGCAGATTTTCTGTTTATTTTCTTTTGAAGCAGTAGATTTTAATTAGTACTCCTTTTTTGGTGATTGATATATTTTATTTAATATTAATACTCTTATCAAAGTATCAACCTTCTTACTCATATGTACTTGATAAAAATTGTATCATAGAATAAAAGATCCAAAGCATACAAATAAAAAAGCAAGAGAAGAAAAATTATTCATCAAAAATTAGGTTTTCTTTGGTTTCTTTGGTTTTTCTATTAGTTTAAAAGGGAAAAAAACATTTAGGGGCTACACAAAATAGGATATCAAAGAAATAGAATAACGTCTAAATAGACAGGATGCCAGATCTGATTTGTTTTTGAAATATTTACAAAAAATCTATTACCATTGAAATATTCAATTAATTAAAACTTCCTCTAAACTACTTGAAAAAAATTAATAGAAATGTAGCTACATTTTCCTTTTGATTTTGTCTATATGCATTTTTGAGAGACATAACATGATGTGATTAATCAGGATAATGACAAGAGCTCTGATGTTTCTTCATAAAAGGAAAATGCAAATATTTTCATTGTTGTCAAGTCTGCATCAGTGTAAAAAAAAGAGCAGATTACTTAAAATATAGGTAGACCTCGGGTTATAATAGCAATTGGTACTGGGACACTGTTCCTAAGCAATGTGGTCATAAAGACTGACATCACATGATGGCATTACTGATGGGGCATGAGGTTGATTTAGGCTTCCATCTTTCCAAGGTCAGTAAAATGAAGCCTCATTTTTTGGGGAGCAATATGCAAATAATGCTGACATTGTAAACCACCCAGCACTATAGAACAGTATATAAGTCTAAACGCTATTGCTATTGCTAAGTTGGACAGGTTGCTAAGTGGGAAGTGGTAGAAGTGTCATGTAAGAATCATGGGATGGTGTGGGGGAGATCCTGAGAGACGTACACAGGCCATGTGCAAGTTTGGGGAGCCAGGTGTAGCAGTGAGACAGCAGGTGCATGTCATCCCAGGTAGGCCAAGTATTAGTGCCTGCCTATCCTTGACAAGGTGTACACAGTGAGACTGTTGAAAAGCGGATGTAGGTGTGAGCAATCAAATGGAAGCTGAGGGAAGGAAGGCTTGATGCAATGCATGTGAAGGGAGGCCAAGAAAGAAGATTGAGGCTGTGTGCAAACACTGGGAGGCTGAGATAAGGAGGGTTTGGTTACATGTGATCACAGGGAGAATCAAAGAAAGGAGAGTACAAGGCAGCATGTGCAAAATGACCCTGAAGAAGGAAGAAAGTAGAATGGGGCTTATTACAGGAGGATGAGGAAAGAAAATGTTGAGGAGTCTAGAGGTTAAATCATATGATGAACAATTCAGGGAACTAGGCATGACTACCCAACAAATCAAAAATTCAGGGGTGGCATGATAGCTGTTTTCCTGTACTTGAGGGGATTGGGTTATTCTTCAAAGCACCTGGGAGTCCAACAAGAAGAAATGGATGGAAGCTCATCAGAGGGAGATTGAATTTGGAACTTGTTTTCTCGTGCCATGTCCGTCATCGGACGTTGGCAATCATGTTGGCAATCCTATTTTTGTCAACAGCTGTATGAAAAAGTGCTGCTGAGTTTTGTCCAAACCAGTCCCTTAGATTTTGAAGCCATGATGTTCTTTTTCTGCCTGGGCCTCATTTGCCTTCAATTTTTCCCTGGAGGATTAAGTGAAGGATGCTGTATTTTTCTGGGTGTCGCATCACATGTCCAAAATACTCCAACTTTCATTTTTTAATGGCTTTGATTATTTCCCTTTGCTTTCCCAGGTGGCTTATCACTTCCTCATTTGTGATTTTGTTAACCCATCTTATACGTAACAACCATCTGTAAATCCACATTTCAAATGTTTCTAGTTTCTTCAAGTGGTTTTCTGTCAGAGACCAACTCTCTACTCTGTAGAGCAGGATAGAAAAGATGTAACATCTGACAAGCCTGATTTTCAGTTTTAGGCTTATGTCATGACTGCAGAAGACCTTTTCCAAGAAGAACTTGGAACTAAGGAAAAATTTCCTTACAATAAGAACAATTAATCAATGATACAGCTGGCCTCCTGGATGCTCCATAAGTAGAGTTTTCAAGAAAATAACCATTTGTCAGATATGATATAAAGTGTCTTGTCTTAGGCAGGGAGTTGGACTACAAAGGAGGTTAGACCTCCAAGATTTCTTCCAGTTCTAGGTTTTATTCTGTTTTCTGTTCTGTTCCATTCCTCTCCATTGCCTAAGAAAATACAGTTTTATGAAGTTTCTCTATACAATATATAAGAAATTTGCTTTGCTGATGCCTAATACACAAAGACAGTGTTCTATAGGTCATTCTGAACAACTTTGCAGAAGCTGCTGTGCTCTACAGCCTGACTATCAGCCTGAACATAACTGAACAGCCTGAACATTATCTGTCCGTGCCGAATACCAAACCCATAGAACCAAAAATCACTACTGATGACCTGGATGTTCTGGTTTCATTCAATAATGGTGGTTTGACACTTGCCAGAGGACAACTGCTGATATTTGACACACACACACACACACAAACACACACACACACACACACACACACACATATAATACATACATAAATCACAACTATTCCATGCTAGCTGAAAGGAGAGTACTGGTCCATTTTACTCCATTTTGTCTAGTATGCAATTGGCACAGTCAGTGATATTTTTTTATCCCAAGCATGTACATGATCTTCCATGAAAGAAATGTCTGCTCTTGAAGCTTTCTTGCTGGCAACATATTGTTGTTTGCATACTGGTAATTCACAGATGTTATAAACTTCTAACACGTGTGAGATAATTATTTCTCTAAAGATTAGTGTTGGCAGGAAAAATGCAGAGAAATATCAATGTTCTACATAATTAGCAAGCACAAATTACCGGTACACTGTGAATTTTGGTAGAATGTTTACTAGAGATGGAGAAATGGATAGAGAAAATTTAAAATATATAAATACTATTAGAAAAATAGTGGATGTTGTGTGGTGTTCTATGAAGAATGAATGTTTCTCAAAAGTAGAAAAAATTGTGATGTATAAGAATATAGTTCTGTCCCTATTTTTATATGGTAGTGAGAATTGACCAAGTTGAGAAAAAAACCATAAAAGCAAGTTGAATATAGTGTGAATATAATATTTAAGAAATGTATCTGATTAAGACAGATTAAGAATTTATGGATGCTGAATGAATGTGCATTGAATGTACAAGTAAATGAGAATGACAAAAGATGTGTATTGAGCTGGTTTGATCATGTGGAGAGTATTGAGGAACACTGAACTGCAAAACTATCTATATGTGTGTGAAAGTGCATGTGAATGGGTCAAGAGACAGAAAGAGAAAGACCAAGAAATGTATATTGAATACAGTTGAAGAGAACCTCCAAAAAAAAAAAAAGACAATAAGAATAGTATTAAACTCATTTTAAATGTGTTTTCTTTTCTTTCTTTTTCTATCTCTTCTTTAATTTTTTTTCTAAGTCTTCTTTCTACAGTGAGTTATATTCCTTTCTCCTGGGGGAAAAACTGCATGGTGAAACATGTATGTACTGTATACTTGATGGTTTTTTTTCTTTTAACTTTTAATATCTTTCACAACATTTAGAATGACCCTTATAAATATTATTTGTGTGCCAAAACAAAAAGATTTGAATAAGTGTGTGTGTGCGTGAGAGAGAGAGAGAGAGGGAAGGAGGGAGGGAGAAGAGAGAGTGTGAATGTGAATTTTTGTTGGATCTGTTTCAATAAATGGAAAAATATATTTGGAATATCCT